TTAGTGCCCCTAGACATGCCCCTCAGAAGGAGGGGTCTAAGGGCAAGTCCTGCCCAATATTTCTAAACCAAGCTTTGTGAAGCAGATTTGGAATTAAAAGCAATTCCCTGTGTTCATAACTGATTTTTAGAAGAGTGACATCGAGTCCTCATAGGTGTTGGCTAAGTGTAAGGGTTTCTGCAGCCACGGAGTCTTTGGAGTAGTGGAACTTACCTTGATGGAACCTGTTGGTGCAACAGTGCAAAGTTGGCAGGTATTGGCAGTCAATGCAAAACACTGGATTGTTTCTAATGCTGCACATGCTCTGGTTCTTACAGGTGGGTGGAGAATTTGCCAGTATTGCTATCAACCAGATGAAGAAATATGGAAGGATTGCAGTTTGCGGAGCCATCTCTCAGTACAATGACTCCATGCCTCAGAAAGGTGTGGGCCTGCTTTTTTTGTGTCTTTTATTTCCTGTTTGGTGATGGCAGAGAGAGAGACATAATGGGAGTTTCTTGAGATTTTCTTGCTTGTTTCCATATGCTGTTTGAGTGTATGTATGTGTATACATTTGGATAAGTAACCACTGCTCTGGGACAGCGGGAGTGTGACCACACTCCTTGTGTGTACAAGCAGTCATCCCCCTTTTTGCACACTCCTATCCAGTGGAGAACATCAGATTAGGAATGGAAGGAGAGACTAAACTACTTTAAAACAGGATTCTCCAGGGCTCTAAGCAGATACAGATCAATAGAAGGCAAGTATGGTGGCATAATGCCATTTACACAGTACGTACTTTTAGACGAGAGAATGGACTTCCCTCAGGTTTTTAGATGAGGCAGCTTAGTTTGGTTTTTTTTTCCCCATAAGATTTCAGCTACTGGTGAAACTGCTGGGAAATGTGGCTGAGATGAATATTCACTTTCAATAGCATTAAGTTTCCCAAATTTGCCTTCTAGAAGGAATGTGAGGTCTGAGTTCTCCTTGACAACTGACTGGCTTTGGACTCCCAGATCACTTTAAAAATGGGACAGGCTTTTGAGAGTGGGGAGACATAACACACATTTTCATGACTGAGGGAACTGTTTTTTAATGTGTGTAACTTTTTTGAGATTTAGGAAGAGTGTGAGAGCTTGTCAGGCTATCAAACAAGCTGTCAAAACAGTATTTCCAGGATTCAGCTGAAACCCCTCAGCTGAAGCTGAGGCCACTTCTGAGTGAAACTGTTTTCAGAAGCCCCACAGTTTATGGTTCAGGCCTTTGTTTCCCTGGGTGGCTGTCTTTCCATGAATCCTTGGTCTTTTGTCCTGGAAGTTCTTTTTGGAAAAAATAGCAGTTGCTTCTGGCTGGAACAAAGTGATTCAGTGGTCTTTACTGTCTTTAGGCATTGGGTCTTATTTGAAATGAAACTGATACTGCAGGTGGTTTGCTGGTTCCTTTCTCTTGCAGGGCCTTACGTGCAGGTTCCAATGATCTTCAAAGAGCTTCAAATGGAAGGGTTCATAGTGACCCGCTGGAATAACCGCTGGGAGGAGGGTCTGAAGGCACTGCTAAAGTGGGTCGTGGAGGTAAGGAGGGAAGGGGTAGTTTTCTGTAAGATGTACTCACACCATAGCTTCCCTTTTTGCCCAAGGGGTCTCTTGTCATAGCGGTTGAGGTGAGGTCCCAGCGTGATACTTTTCTTCCACCTGACTTGATCTTTGAGCCTTTTGGGGACACTCAAACCATAGTGAACATGCTTGATTCCCTTCTGCTTTGTTGAGACCTGCGATATTAGCTTGTGTACTTAGATGTATTCAAGAATACATGTAGGCTTTGAAAAAGAATGCTTCCAGAGTAATTCAAAACACTTCTCTGGCAATGAAGAGTTTCATATTTAGAGTGATTCCTCTATTTCTCATTCAGAAGTCTCCTTTCCTTTGTAGTATAAGCAAGGATTTCTATTGTAGTGTTGTGCTGAAATTACTAGCAAGAATGGATATTTTTATGAAATTGAGAGCTGGGCCTTAAAGGGACTTAATAGGGAGTTTCTTAAATTTTATTTTTCTAAATGGAGGTTGAGTTTAACACTTGGTTCATGACTGTGAAAAGCTTGTGAGTGTGAACACTAAAGGCTAAGAGGCTCTAGCTTTTACAAACATGGGGGTTTGGGATCAGCTTTTGATCACTTGGATTTGGAGTTCCATACTTCCTTATGGGTAGAGACAGGCCTGGCTTTGGGGAAGTAATCCTCTATGTGTACATTGTTTGGGGACCAAGTAGCACTAAATCTGTCCTGGTGTGTTTTTATAGCAGTGACTTTTGCTCCCTGTTATGACTCCAAGTAGAAGGTCTTGCAATAAAAGCAGATCCTCACAACAGCCTACCTAGTTCTGCAAAATTACCCTGGTGCGTGCCAGCTTGCATGTTTCACATGAAACATACAAGCTGGAGAAAATTTGGTTGCAATTTGGTCTCCCGAAGATCATAGAATCGTAGAATCATTTAGGTTGGAAAA